CTGTCAATGTGCGGAGAGTTGCCGTTTCACAAGTCGACCCCTCCTGTGATAGAGTCTTCTCTGACATCTTGTGTCAGGGCTGCCTGCTTCATGATTGTGTCAACTTCCTCAGACTTCCGGTCCGAAGAGGCCCATGTTCTGATCGAGGTTCATCCGCGGCTGAAAGTTTGCGTCCAGCTCGGATTATTGCTTGTTAAAGCGTTTCAACTGGCACCAGCGTTTCAAGCGCCGTTTGGTGGGGGTATCTCCTAGTGTCAGAAACTTCTGAAATTTGCGTCCTGAGAGCTTCTAATGATAAGGAACGTCCAGCTGAGCTAAACTGTCAGGGTTCCCCATTCACCTTGACATTCAAGCTCGCGGCCCGTTCCTGATCGAACCTCCCAAGACCAAGGTGGGCGAACCCCAGACTCGCGAGGTCACAGCTCCAGCAGGGGGACCTGCCGAGGGTCCTGAGCCAGGACCATATCTGCAGGACGCCCCCAGGACACTGGCAGGGTGCTCAGGACCAGGGAGTTCATCCAGGTTCAGCCAGGACCAGGCAGGACTGCATAGTGGAGGTGGGTCAGTGAGGAGACGAGTGGGAGGCAGGCACCAGAACTCGAACGGGCCTTGTCTGCGTTTGTCGGCCTGGGTGTGTTGGGCTCGCTCCCTGTGCGATTGCTTGGCTGTCAAGCCGTACAAGGGGAGGGGCAGAGGCACCGGGCGTCGTCATTTAAGGCCCCTGGCCTGATCAAATATCTAGCTCAGCGGTGCCGTCACAGTGGTGCCTTACCCCAGCCACGGGCAACGGCAGCATTGTTACTCTTAAACTCTCTGGCCTGGTAGTACATCGTCCTGATATCCCAGCCTCAGCCTCGTCCATATCCTCGTTCGTCGGTGCAGGGAGCATACCAGGTCCTCGCCTGCCTGAGGCCGTCCGTCCGTCTGTCGCTAGCACCTCCATCCACCGCAAAAAGTTGGACTCCTGGTGTTTGCAACCTTGAACTGCTGCGTCATGATGCTAGGGTGCACTGCAATGCATGACCGAAGATCACGAGTGGGACCGGAAAAGCTAAGGATGACGGTATCCAGCGCAGATAGAGGGTGGAAGGGTCAGCATCCGTGCAATTGAACAAGCGCTTGCTTCCCGAAGGGCCATGTTCAGACGGTCATCGCCGGTGAAGACCGTCACCTGAATGGAATGCGAGGAAGACCATGATCTCGTGGACCTTACCGCTTCAAGTAGCCAGCTAGTCAGTCACAGACAGTGATCAAAGAGCATTGGAGGTGTTATTCGAGTGTGTTTAGGTATCGAGCTTTCCGGTACAGAGGTCGGGGTCAGAGCCATTGGAACGGAGTTTCCTCACGATGTGTTCAGGTCTGAATACGCGTATGTTCGTAGTACATCAACGGCCATTTCCATCGACCTGAGCTCCGCTCACAACCCGTGCTGAGTCTGACCGAGGCAGGGAGTCGACCCGCGGGTACACGGACCCGTCGATGCTGTAAGGCCGTCTTTACTACATGACAGTTCCGAATACTTCACCGCCGCTGCCGCCTAACGCATCCGCATCGAGGAGCAGATTGCTGTTAAGCCCATGTGACCCCATCGCGCTCTCACTCCTGCACAGCCAATGGTTGAGTCCCCATAGGCTTTGGCGTTGATTGACAAGTCCTAACCATATCGCCATGTGAATCGGCTTATCACTGTAGCTGATTCGACCCCAACAGCTCGAGGTTCGCAAAGCTTGTCTAGATCAGGTTTGGAGGCGCAATCCAGATACAACTGGGCAATAGCATGTCTCCACTGCAACGAAAAGTACGTTGTTGCCGTGTGACCAGAGACTCAAGCTTCCTATCAGCTACTCTCAGCGAGTGTTCGCTCGCTGTCAGGCCTTTGAACAGCAGCTTGAGATATCATTTCTCGTACTCTGCCCCCACCCGATGTCCCGAAATTTGGCTCTGCCTGTAATGCGGATGGAGCCGTTGTCGAGCAGGCTGGGCTTAGGTAGGAGCTCGAATGGCGCGTCAGGCCTGTACTAGCCCACTCTTCCTCGGTGTTACGACACTATTCGTTTCGGTCACATCCCTCATCGATGTCGTTGTTTAAGGGCTTACCCTAGGACTTTGTGTCGGTCCAAGAGGCGTTCCGGGTCCTGACGCATATCCTTGTAATTTGGTGGCGCTCTCTCGGCGAACGAGTCCTGGAATTAGGGGGTGCACGAGCCGCCGAAAGGTCCCCTCACGCGAGACCTGACAACGTCACATTCACTACCCCGCCGATGAAGTCGATCTGCCGCTTCGGAAGCAGACTCCTGTTGTGTCAGCCCATGCAGATGGAGATCGAGTTTCACCATCAATAATGATGCTATCCTTCTCGTGACCTTAGACGTTAATGGCGTACCTTGGCGCGCGGGTCCGTCGTATAACTTACCCCGATACGCACTGCCGGCATCTCTGGGTCGCGTCCGCTCGGAATAACTACCGGCAAGAAGCAGAATTGCCTATGGGGAAACAACTGACTGCAGGCTGCCAAGAACGGCTTTGCGCACGTACATCCTCAGCGCCGTCCGGTTTTCCATTCTCGACTTGGACCCGGCAAGGGTCAGGTTCGTCGGCTACCTACAAGGGAGGCGCATGCTCGAGCGTCCCATCTCTGGTGGCCGTGACTACGCCTTGGCAGGCCGGTTGACCTCGAGTCGGAGCTCTGCCTTCATGCATCATACCTAATATAACCTGGTTGCTATGCATGCATCCGGATCTATCAGTCTGTTTCCAGTTGTGAACCCACACCCCACCTTGTTCCGTCATACATCACCACCGGCCGGAAGCCCGTGGTTCCTCGGGAGTTACTGCCCTTCTCTGGTACCGACGTTCTTGGGCTCCAAGGCGGTAGATCGTAGATCTCGGTGGCATTGGTTGACCGACAGTCCCATCACACAAAGCCGTCTGCTTCGCCGTTTGCGGCTCTCGCGTCACGAGGAGCGGGCCACACAACGATTGCATTCCGTTCAGCATCACGTTGTGCTTTTGCCGGGAAGGAATTGAAGGAATCCGGTAACGATAAAGTCAATGACCCGCGCAATGAATGAAACCTGTCAGCAGTAGGTTGTCGTACCATCCCCGTGCTGCTCTCCCACAATCACCTCGCTGTTGATGGTTGACATCTCGTAGGCCAACCCCTACTCCCACTATTTTCATCGCCCTGCTTTTCTTTTGTGCGCAAGCGTACGGCCCTTGCACCCATCCCCGACCAATGTGCCTTGTATGCTGCAAAAGGACTACGAGGCCCGGCAACGCGTGGCGCGTGTACCGTCCAGCAATAGTGGACCGGCATTCAGTAATGAGCAAGCGAGAGCGGTTTAGCAATCCACGTCCGCGTGGTGTTCAAAGGAGGGTTAAGGAGGTGGCTTGGGCCATTACCCATGTCCTATTCAGTGCTATTGCACACCCGCAATAGCTGAAGAGCCTCTCGGACTGTGTTTAATCTTGTTTCCTGACTGTCCTGTGTGTCTAAGACGGCCGGTCTATAGCAAGGACCAGGTTCCCCTTGATAGCCCCTTGCAAGCAGGAGTAAGCAGGTTCAAGCGTCCGCCCTGGCTCTCTTCGAATTTTTGACGAAAAGGAAAAGGGAGGAGAGGGGCATACGGAAACCGACAGGGGACCTGCCGAGGGTCCTGAGCCAGGACCATATCTGCAGGACGCCCCCAGGACACTGGCAGGGTGCTCAGGACCAGGGAGTTCATCCAGGTTCAGCCAGGACCAGGCAGGACTGCATAGTGGAGGTGGGTCAGTGAGGAGACGAGTGGGAGGCAGGCACCAGAACTCGAACGGGCCTTGTCTGCGTTTGTCGGCCTGGGTGTGTTGGGCTCGCTCCCTGTGCGATTGCTTGGCTGTCAAGCCGTACAAGGGGAGGGGCAGAGGCACCGGGCGTCGTCATTTAAGGCCCCTGGCCTGATCAAATATCTAGCTCAGCGGTGCCGTCACAGTGGTGCCTTACCCCAGCCACGGGCAACGGCAGCATTGTTACTCTTAAACTCTCTGGCCTGGTAGTACATCGTCCTGATATCCCAGCCTCAGCCTCGTCCATATCCTCGTTCGTCGGTGCAGGGAGCATACCAGGTCCTCGCCTGCCTGAGGCCGTCCGTCCGTCTGTCGCTACGCTTTGCGCTCCTTGTCCGTGAACATTTCTCTCGTCTCCAGTTCCGTCCTCTATCTGACCCAATCGGTGTGCTCTATATGAGCAACCCTGGGCTCGCAAAGTTATACCATCCCCCGACCCTGTACGTCTTTCGCTTCCCCCTTTGTTGATCATTACCACCCATCATACCACCGGTCCACACCCGACCGCTCGCCCATCCCAACCCAAGAGACATTATATCCGTCGGCTGCGACCGCGACCCCGGCCAAACAACGTCTCTCACCTATATCTTGGCTTGGTCGCATTTCCACTCTCCTCTCCTTGCCTTCTTCGCCCATTTCAAACTACGACAATCGGAGGCTTCATTGCACCACTCTCCGCTGCGTCGACGATCTTACGCCCTTCTTTCAAGCACAGATCATCTCATCAGCCGGCTGCCACACTGTCAACCCGCACACACGTTACCAGCGCGCCGTTCACAGTATAGCCTACTTGGGCGTAGGTTGGAGAGCGATCGCAACCTTCACCAGGTGTGAGGCGAAACACGATCTATACACGAAAGCTTCGCCCTCCACCCGGTCACTGCGGATTGTCTATCGACCTCGTAGTTTTAATCGAGGTACAGTCCAGTCCTCGTCGCTACATCGCACGACCAACTCAACGCTGCCTGACGTTTCGAACTATCAACGGTTGGGAGGCTGCGTCCTAGCTGACGGCTACACTGAACGGCCGTCGTTCCCGATTTGGCTGAACTTCAACCGCTTCCACATCCGCCACCTCCCACCACTTGTTCTACCATTGCTCAACCTTCGTCCAACAGCCATCAATCATTGTGTTGCTCCACTCCCGACATCTACACACTGTCCTTCCGTCACCACGGATGAGTCGGCCACCCTTCGCTCACCACAGGTCCTCCTTCGATGGACCTGGTGCCCGGCCCATCCTCGGTGAAGCTGGCCCCTCTGGTAGCCAACATCACCCAGACGCTCGCCCCACCAGCAGAGGAGGCCGTGACAGGTATGGAAGCCCTCAACGTTCATATGGACCCCCGCCGCATCCACAAGACTCACAGGGCTACCCGCCCTATCCGGGGCCTCCTCCGGTTCACCATCCTGGGGCAGGACAGGCGTATCGCTATTCGCAGCCGCCGCCACCACTGGCTTCGTCGGTTCCCTCCAAGACATCACCCCGCCGTCACAACTCGCCCGATCGTCAACGTGTGTCGCCGCTCACTACTACCGCACCGGCTCCTTCCCCTCCCGTGATCAAGCGAGTGGGGGGAAAGGCAAACGTGTCTAGTGCATGTGGTCCATGCAAGCGGGCGCACCTTGCCTGCGACGTCGCTCGGCCTTGCAAGCGCTGCGTGAACATGAACAAGGAAGATCAGTGCGAAGATGTCCCGGTAAGTTCGCGTATCTCGAAGTGCGGCGATAGGGGAACGCTTCATAGACTGATGGTACAGCACAAGAAGCGCGGAAGGCCCAAAGTGAACAAGCCACCGGTCACCGAACCATACACCCGTTCGCGCCCCGGCGAGGAAGGAGGCTCGGCGACAGGTCGAAGAGGTGCTGCTCCATATGATCCGGCGAGATCGTATTCCTCGTCCATCAATTCGCCGCCATCACCTCTGGGTGACAGTGGCCGGCCGAGTTCTTCCCGGATGATACCTTCACCGCCGAGAACGGCTATCGGTTCGATGGTGCCTGTTGGTCAGGTGGATGCCGCGCCTCCTCTAGCTGGACCTTATCCGCCTGGACCAGCTTCTGCTCCTCCCACAGCTCATGGGGTCCAGCCAATTCCGGACCTATTCACGATCTTCTGCACGACCGACTTCAACATCTTACGCATCACGAACGCATGTCACGCTTTGACCGGATTTCACTCTCAAGAGTTTATCAACTTAAACTTAAACCGTTGGGTCCACCCGGCCGACCAGCATGTTCTCGACAGCGAACGGATAAATCTGCTCTCTGTATCATACCTCCAAAACTCTCTTCAGTCAACACGAGAGGTCACTCAAGCCATCCGTTCTCATAGTGAACGGGAGCTCTTAACCCCTGCAATCGGCATGACTGAACCTTACCCGCAAGTCAATGTTCGACTTTTACGCGCCGACCATGGCTATAGCTACTACAACGTTCGACTCCACCTTGGAGGCGGTCTGGGAGGCTCGCTCTGGGATCCGGAGCTGCAGGGCAACATCTATCTCGTTGTGTCTTGTCTTCTGATTTCTGATCGCGATGCCCCTTCCGACCGTCCTCCTTCGCGACGGGCCGTGATGGGTTTGCCACCAACGGCTATATCTGCAATGCCTCCCCCGCCACCGCATACGTTGCCTTCGTTCTCTTCGGTTGCTGCGTCGGCTGACATTCTCCCCCCTAGAGACGCGAGAGATATGCGAGATCCCAGAGACGTACGGGGTGACCCAAGGGATCTTGCTCCACGCATTGTAGACCGCCCGGACCCGCGCGAGCCACGAGACCCAAGAAGCTTGAGGAGCCATCGCGATTCTCGTGACACCCATGACCCCCGTGATCCCCGTGATCCACACCGCGACTACCGACATTCCCAACATTACTACCCGCGTCAGCCGTGGCCTCCAGGACCTTCTAGGCGGACACCATCCCCACCACCTGCATACCCTTCACGCTATTACCCTCCTGCTTATTACCCTAGTTACGAACAAGTACGAAGAGAAGATGAGTGGCGGCGTCGCTCAAGCGCCGCCCCTCCACCTCCGGGACCTGGGCCCGTACCGCCTGGAGGACATCATCCTCCCCCTCCGTCAGGTCCTCCTGGTCATCCGGGTCCCCCGGGAGACTACCGCCGGACATGGGAGCTATGATGAATCACGACGTCTTAAGATTCGAAAACAATAATGCATCCCCACCGATACCCCACAGACACCGACGAACATGCGACGCTTAGCTGTACCTTGAGTTTTCTTGTACTCCAACCAGCCCCACCAGCCCCGACTGCGATACCGTCAAAACGTTGCGCTGTTGTGACGGCAACTGCAAATGACATTCGTACGAAGATGTAGCTCTCGTCATCGGCTTGCGCCGACCAAACTCTCGGTGGACCATGTCTAATAATCTCGCGATTCCCTGTTAATGGGCCCAGAGCCGAACCCCGCTGCAGCCCCGTGATGCCTGGTTGCTCTTGCCTCGTACTTTACTTGTTCTCTGGCGTGACGCGCCGCATTATCGGCACGTCCGGTACCTACCGGAAAGGAGTTTAACCTAAGGTTGGCAGATTTCGAATTCACAGCGTAGACTCTCGTTATCGTTGGGCCCACCCGCCTGCCTTCACGGGTCTAACAGGTCCATCACGTTCTGTCTCCCAAAGCAATTGACAGGCGTTGTGGTCAGTGCACCAGCTACACGCCGCAGACCGCATCATCGAAATCGCATATGCTCCGCCTCGACAAGCCGCAAAAGCCCTAAAACGCATGATTTTACTGTTCTCAGTCAACCTTAAGCTGCGGCCGTAATACTCATCTTCTTAGCAAACTCATGACGATAGGGGTACCGGCCCGCTGGATTCAAGCGCAGGGAGGAGAGATCAGGAAGAGTTCAGGAGGTCAGGAAAGAAGATGCATCTTGAATGATTTTATTACTGCTTCTGGCATGCGTGCTGCTTGGGCACAGCGTAAGCTGGCATAAACAATGCAAGGTCCGTCGCCCGGTCAGACTCCCCAAGCGGTCAGCGGGCATTGAGATCGCAGAGGAGCTCTGCCCTCGCAAAAAAGAGGCGGCACTGAAGCCGCAACCCCGCCCTGCTGCTGAGCGGCGTGTTTTGGTCGAGACCGCAACGCCACAAGCGCCCTCCACAGCGAGCCCGTTACTTACTGGGCAGCGCTAGTACGCTATCAGCGCGCTAGTGCGGTTTAAATTGAATTATTCTTTGGCCCCGTAGAATTGAAACTTGCGTCCGAGCTGTCGCGCTGTCGCATGTGCTGGGTAACAGTGTGTCAGATGAGTCAGGCGCGACGGCACAATATGTCCCAGACAAACACGCTGGAGCCGCAGACAGGGGAGATCGGAAGGGCAGACCCTCAGATCACTGGTGCGGGAAGAGTCGCCGGTGCGGCCAGGTCGTTCGTCAGATCGCGTTCGACTCGGCGGGCGACTGTACTTAACGAGTTGCTAGGCCGCAGTCCGCGAGAAGCAGCTTCATACGAGACAGATCGGCAGTTGAGAATCTTGTAACATACTGTGGCCAATCTCAACGGTGCCCGACAATGTGGTACAACCTTTCAGTACCAGTGCCACCACCTCACCGCGCGCGTATAGCGGTTGGGTTGGGCGTGGGAGTGATCGTAGACCTTACGACCTCGGGACCTGCTGCTTGCGCGAGAGCCGCAAGCGCAGTCGCGATCACTCCTCCAGGCTATAGGGAGAGCCGCTGGCTCATCCGGAAGGGCCATCCGCGTCTGTCCTGACATGACATGTCTGCAGTCTCAGTGCTCCTTCAGTCCAAGCTCAAGTGCGCGCAGCCGCTTCACGTGCTCAACTCGCTTCGCCGCCCGTACCGTCATATGTCGTAAGCAGTCGTAAGCAAGTGAGGCGTGGGTTGCGCTTGATTCGGGGGAGCGCAGCGACAGACCGACAGCGGCGCACGAGCGCTCGCGGCTGGCTGACTCGGAGGTCGTGCGTCCGTTGCGATTGTTGCGTGCATTGCGCGATCCACGGTGAATGAATTTTGGAATTTCCGTGTGCTGTGTCCTCCCTCCGGTGGCGCCGCCATCCATTTTGCATCACTGCGCCGCATTGCTCAAACCCCTCTCGCCAGTTCCGTTGTCCGCTGCCCTGGCATCTCAGCAGAGCCAACAGGTTGCCTCTTTGGTTGCGAAGAGCGTCGCTCACCGGCACGACAGTATCATGTAACAAAGAAACGCTACATGCAAAGTGCCGTGTTCCATCCCGATGGAACTGTGGAACCTCCCGGTGAAACGGTGAGGCTGGCGTAGACGACGAGACCGGCTGGCATGTGAGACATTCGGTGTAGAGCAGCTCGATCATAGACGACCCGATCGTGAGCAACGAAGACCGAGGAACAGGTGGCTCCGCACACACCCACTCACCGGATATTGGTCGAAGATGCTAACACGGATCTCGATCCCATCTCGCGGCTCTAGCGTGTACACGGCGTTTAGCTCGGAGCCCCTAGTGAGCCCGGGAGTGGTGCAGAGGGGCGGGGGACGAGAGTTCGGCAGCACATCTTCGCGGGGATTGACGCTGCCGCATGCCCCGGTTCTCTCGGCCCGGAGTGGCCCGGTCGGGCGGTTGGCCGTACCAGGAACGGATATCGAGAACGCTAACGGCAGAAGCGAGTTAGTCCACGAAAGCAGGCTGGTCATGCCAGTCCAAACCGTCGATCGCATCAATCACGCATGAGGGTGATCAAGGTGTCCAGGTATAGTAGGCTGGACAGGCTGAACGGGGCACAGACGTCCGTTACCAACGGGTAGGAGTCTCTCGTCTTCATATCTCCACCACAAGTCTTCCCATAACATCGCAAAGAATCCCCACGCCCCTGCGTACACACGTACTCCAACTTTGTCAGCCGCCACCGAAAAGAACTGACTCTAAAGGATGGCAGGAACACTGGAGCCGCGAAGCTCTGCAGACCTGAGCCTGTCTGGTGAGCTTGAGTGAACATGAAAGGGCGCTCAGTCTGGTGAGCAGGTTTTACTCTGGACCGAGAGCTTAATCGAGTGACGCCGACTCTGGATCTTCTAGTCTTCACTTCTCTCCGCTCATCTCCGTCTTCTGCTACCCTGGTGCCCGGGTGGAGTCTGCCTCTATGGGTATGCTCAATTCAGTGTACATTGGTGCGAATTCACAGAAAGCATCGTGGGGACGTGCGTACTATCGTCGCATCTGGCCGCGCCGCCGCGGGCACCTGACCAATCCTACCAGTCTGATGCAGACGAAAGTGACACACACCGCGCTCCACGGTCCTTGGTCCGAGGTCCCTGAAGCGTTCTCCGCATTCCGGCTTGCTGCCTGCGAGAGCAGAGTACGGTCTGAGAATCTTCTGCGGAGCCGTGCCGAGCTTGATGATCTTCTCATGACTCCGCATCTGCCGATATTTACCATTCGATCAGTAAGCTTAGCGAAGCGCATTGTTTCCCCTGAGAGACCTCTTTATGACCGGAAGGGCGACAGCTGCAGAGGTACCGGCCAGCAGAGTCTGGAACGAAACTGTGCTCAACGCCACAGATGCTGGTGACGACCAGAGGAGAGGACCAGTGACTCGCCCCACAGGTTCACCGCAAACTCAATCACCTTCAAGGTTAACTGTCGCATCGTAGCTTTGCGACTCGAGTCTCGAACAAGTACTGTTACTTGCTATGACCGTATTTCGACAGACGAAGGTGTTTCAGGAGGCGTGCGGACGTGCAGCGGCGTGATTATCAAACTATGAGAGCGTGTCCTTGGGACCAAGCGCAGCTGATCTTCAGTTCGGTGTGATTCTAAGTCTCGGACAGGTCGCCCCAGCCCCGTCAGCAGATCTTGCGTAATGCGGAGCGTAAATCGAGGAGGAATCCGAATACTGAGCGGGTTGGTCATATTGCTAACTTGGGTGTCAGCCAACCTTCAGCAAGTGCCTGGGTCAGAATTGAGAATCCGGGCAGCGAAAGCGCGAAAGCACGATCGTTCGCATTTGTCGTCTCACGGTCTCATTGTTCCCATCTCGTACCTGTTGACTTGACAACTGGGGTGAGTAGCTATCGACCCCGAGGCTGGATGGAGGAGGGCGAGCGGTGACGACTCTTGACATGCTGACTAGGTTCTTCGGAATGTTTTCTCGGGCTACTGATTGCGGATCAACAAAGCATTCATGCTCGCGTGCAATGTTACACAGCATTCCCCGATCTTGATCTGCTCCAGCTCACGGCCCTGCTCCCGTCCAGGTCGCAGTTGCACCCCTGCACACCTCGTACCTCATCTGCGTACCTTCGTGCTCCTTCGCGGCCCAGCCCTTCTTTCCTCCGTCGAACGGGGACAGGGGCACGCAGTTGTTGTAGCCGGGCCGTAGTGCGGTTCCTCATCTGCAAAGCTTGGTGTTCGAGCGACTGCAGTCTGTCTCTGCCTTGCCCCATCCTGACACGGGTGTATTGAACACTGTCGCTCGCTTCGGTTTTGCGAGAGGGCGACGTGATGCGATTCAACGCTATTCAGGTTATGGAGGCTTTGGCTGAGCAATAACATAAAACCTCCGGGCGCTCTGCGGCCGCTGGCCCGTTGGACGGCCTTGGGATCGCTATGCTCGTGTACCTTCTTCTTGTCGTGGGGCTGGCGCCAGCAGCAGAGTAACACACTCGCGACAGCGTTTGTCGCCGACTTCTCACTCCACAAAACTCAGCTCTCGCTCTCCCGAGTTACAATGTACCTCTGTTCCTCCTGTACCTCTGCATAGCCGCCGGGCAGGATCAGCTACCCATCTCCGCGGGGGGTAACGTCACTCAAGTGAAGACGTCCGGAGAGTAGTACGTCCTCCCACCGAAAATCGAGGTACAGGTAGAGATACCCACGGTCCCTGCCTCACGCCTCAACGCCTTGGCCGAGAAACTGCCAGTGCGGCTCGGATGCAAACGCATTCGAAGATTAAAGTACATCACCTGCGTGTATACCTCAGTGGTTCCTATGATATCTTGCCTGATTGCTGCAGAACCTGGTGACCGCAAGAACCGGAAGGTTCCGGGTCTTAAGGCTGACGCTGACCGGCTGCTGGCAATTAACAACGCGAGCGCATAAAGCACAATGTCGATCACGGCCAGGGCTAAAACTTATCTACATGGTCGCTGAATCAAGCCGACGGCGTGTCGTTGTCGACGAGGACGTCCTCGACGTTCTCCTGTATACCGTTAGCCCCGCTCTTGCAGGAATTGTGTGGTGTCACGGCTACCTACCTTCTCGGCCTCCGCCTTGCGAAGAGCAACCTCCTCGCGAAGCTTCTCCTTGTCACCAGGGCCATGCGCCGCGTGGGCGGCGCCGCCGTCTTGCAGTCTGTGAGCAGCCATAACGCCACGAACAGCACGGCGGACTGACGTTAGCAGCAAGTCCAACGTAGAACTGATGCTACTCACAAGTCTTCTTGGCATCGAATGCCTTCTTGACACTGGGCAGCAGGTTGACGGCGTGGCCAGAGGCATCTGCAACAGCAGGAGCCTCCTGTGCCAACCAGGGGTGAGCAAGCAGCTGGTCAACCGTCGGACGATTGGTCGGATCGACGGTCAAGCACGCGCGAACGAAATCCTTGGCAGTCTCGGAAACACCCTGCCAGTACTCCGCCGGCGCAAACTTGTAGTCGCCGTTGCAGATCGCCTGCATCTCCTCGTACTGCGATTCACGATCGAAGGGTGTGTAACCGCAGAGCAGGAAGTAAGTGATGACTCCAATTGCCCAGACGTCAACTGGCTTGCCGTGACCGGCCTTCTTGAAGATCTCGGGCGCCATGTAGCCTGGTGTCTAGCAAACGTTAGTTGAGCGTCTTCTCGAGCACTCACTCCACAGGTGGTAGTCAAAATGGAGAAGTTGTCCTCCTCGAGCACCTTCGACAGCTGCAAGTCAGTACAAGACTCTTCGGATCAACCTACTCCAAAGTCAGCCAACATGAGCGGGGAGTCCTCAGCCTTCGACTTGAAAAGGATGTTCTCGGGCTTCAAGTCTGCACATGGGATTAGTTCACTCAGGCTACAGAGTCGGAATCAATGGCACTGCTTACCGCGGTGGACGATCCCCTGGTCATGAAGATACTTGACAGCTGAAACGATAGTGCGGACGATGTTGGCGGCATCCCTGACAATCAGCTCCTGCAACCTCATCCTACCAAACTCACTTCTCGTAGTAGCTTCCACGAGCACAAATGCGGTCGAAAAGCTCTCCACCAGTACACAGATCGAAGACAAGCTGCTGTCAGCGGACCGAGCCCCGTTGGCGCAAGCTAGCCTTGGACGCGAATCAGCGCACGGGCACTCACATAGAGGTTGTGACTTGTTTCGAAGAAGTCGTGAAGCTGAACAATGTTTGGATGACCGGCAGAAACCTTCTTCAGGATGGCAATCTCGTTGCGAACCATGTGTTCACGGCCCTGTTGCATCAGAGCCTGAATGGAGGAAGGATGCGGGACTTACGGTGAGGAACTTTTTGTTCAAGACCTTGCACGCATAGTACTGGCCGGTCTGATGTCAGCGGCTGTGCGCGGCTAGGGGCAGAGAGGGAAGCCACGATCGCCAGGTCGACCACCCTAGAGCAGCTACCCACCTTGATGTGAACACACTCCTTGACGACAGCACTGATAGTCAGCATCGGCTCAGAGCCGGTCAGTATCTTTGAGCACGTACTAAGTACCGCTGCGATGTCAGCCATGCTAATTCTTATTTGAGCTAGTTTGCTTACCTGCCGAGAGTCTTGCCCGTCTTGTACTGTGATGTGTCAGCAGGAAGCACATACGGTGAGCAGCAGCATCACACACCTGACAGGGAACGGTGACGGGGGCTTTGGACATGGCTGACAGTAATTTGGCAGAAGTTGTCAAGAGCTAGGTCGGCAGGTGGACCGAGAGGAGATTAACGACGCGTAGATTGCGTTGGTATGAGGTCGCGGCTGAAGCGCAAGTTACTAGCGATTGGCGTGACTACACTCGATCGGATGGTCGAGAGTCGATGACGGAAAGAGTTCCACGCGCCCTTTATATAGCGAGGGGGAATCAAGAGGAGCTAGAGGAGGGATATGATTATCGAGCAAAGGAGAACAACCGTGATGTCGTTGCTTGCGGTGCAGGTGACCTGACGTGGTATAGCGCGCCGGCATCCCCTATATGTCAACTGCGGAATACGACCGTGGGAAAGCGTACACCTCAGCTGGACGCGTCCGTTGTTATTGCCTTTCGACATATTGCAGGAGGTCGTGTCAACCTCTTTTCGTACAATCGACATGCACGATGCGGATTCTGACATGGAACGTTGTGAGTAACACATGACAGCATAAAGGTTTTGCTGCAATTCTGACGTTGTCTCAGAACGTGCTACGCACTGTGCTCGACTATCATCCGTAAGTCCACTCCACACAGGGGGGGTTGCTAGTTCTGATATCAGCTTTTCGAGCATGCCTAAAAAGAACGTTGAGGGCCTACTGGATACACTCGAGGCAGATGTCTTTTGTTTCCAAGGTCAGGTTTCCTTTCTCACTCCGCTAACATCAGAGCACAAAACTCGACGGGAACTCTTGGACAAAGCTACGGCTTGCCCTGGACGTTATGATGGGTTTTGGACCTTTCCTCGACACAAGTCCGGATACTCTGGCGTGTGCACCTACGTTAACTCCGACTATTGCGTTCCGCTGAAGGCTGAGGAGGGTATCACTGGGCTTCTCCTGACTAGCAAAGGCGGAACGATGAAGCCGCCGTGGACGCCCGATGAACAGATCGGCTGCTACCCAGAACTCGACGACGTTCCCCTCTTGGAAGAGACGGAAGGAATTCCATTCGACCCAGCGCGACTTGATGTTGAAGGAAGAGCGGTGGTGTGCGACTTCGGCCTCTTTGTGCTCTTCAATCTCTACGTGCCAAACAGGGGAAGTGAGGCAAGGGGCCCGTACAAGTTGAACTTCCTCACTGTCCTGAGGGCTCGAGTGGAGGCACTCATGGCTGCCGGTCGAGAAGTGATTTTGGCAGGGGACATGAACGTCATTCGACAGCCTATCGACTTCGGCGAGGGTACGATTGTGCCTGGTACTCACTACCTCGACCATCCCGATCGACTGCTCTTCGAATCTTGGTGCCATCCGAAAGGTCCACTCATTGACGTGGTCCGAGAATCTTTCCCCGACCGCGAAGGTATGTACACGTGCTGGAACACAAAGATCGATGCGAGGTAGGTGACAAGAACGAGTTCTGGGCTTATCTGCCAGACCCGCCAACTACGGAAGCCGGATCGACTACATCTTGTGTACGCCGGGCCTGCGCAAATGGATCAAGGGAGGTGATATCCAGTCGAAGGTGTTTGGATCAGATCACTGTCCGGTGTACATCGACCTGCACGACGAGATTGAGGAAAACGGCAGGACAATTCGACTGAAAGACGTCTTGAACCCTGCGAACAGGCCGCAGTCGACCGCGCCTAAGTTTCCGAGTGATGTTCCCCGAACGGCCCCCGAGCCACCTCGCTTTGCAACAAAGTTCTTCGACGAATTTTCAGGAAAACAACGGACGCTGAAGAGCCTCTGGGCGAACGCAAAACCGAAAGGATCAAGCTCTCAGGCGACGGAGCAGCAACCACTGGTGCCGTCCCCATCCAAAACCCCAACTCCGACCCCGGACCCGACGACCCCTACCCCGGCTGAAGTGGCACAAACCTCTAGTACACTTGGGGTAGCACGAGCTGCTTTCTCGTCCTTGGACTCACCCTCCTCGTCTGCGCAGCCGGCTGTGCAAGCACAAACTGCTGCTGCAGTGAAGACAGCGAATGGTGCCCCGAAGCGTCCAGCCACCATCGATTTGACAGGGGATGACGGACCCCGAAAGCGTGCCACAGTGGAGCGGTCAAAGTCATCAACTATGAAGAAGTCGTCGAATGGCCAAATGAAACTGGCTTCCTTCTTCTCACAGCCGGCACCCAAGGCTAAGGCGGCCTCTCCCGTCCCCATCTCAGAGCGTGCGCAAGAATCCACCCTCGCCGCGGTCCAAGGCGACATCCCGGACACAGACCGAGATGCTTTGATCGCAATTGCGATGGCAGAAGAAGACGAGGAGCGCGAGAAGCAACGCGATGCCCAGAAGCAGAAGAATGCCCCCGCGTGGTCGGAGATCTTCGCCAAGAAGGTGCCTCCGAAGTGCAAGGTGCACGGGAGACCATGCAAGGACTTCAGTGAGATTATTTCAATCTACTCAATGCTGACATATCTCAGTCGTTAAGCAAGGCTCAAACAAAGGCAAACGGTTTTGGTTGTGCTCTTTGCCTGTAGGACCAGGGTACGACATGGGCCGCTCAAAGCGACCCCGAGAACAGGTCAACCCCGAGTATCGTTGTGACTAGTGAGTATGAGTAAGAAAGGGCGCTGACGAGGCAGTTTCTTGTGGGATTCGTTGAACACCAACAAAGAGAAACCTCAGCAGTGATGGGTCTGTAGATGGCAGGTGGTTGGAAGCACTGGTTGTCCAGCTTGTTGTATGTATTTGTTTGCATAGAGGAGCCGGACGTGTCGTCGCGTTCGATCGCGTCTCCTGGAACAGCAAACATAATGACGTCGATGGAACGCTGAAATGTGGTGCCCCGGAATTAATCAATATGGGCATGTCACAACGCACGTTGATTGGTCCGCGCCAAGGGGTGGATGCCTGCACGATGCCGGACCCCGTAGCGAGCGGCAAGACAACCACAACGAGGTGCATCCAACCTTCTCTACCCCACCTTCCTCCTGACTGGTGTCGGCCATTTTCACTTGACATCGTCATCGTCTCTTGCCCATCACTGAGACTGGCTTGTTGTTACCCTCCGGCCGACCTCCCGACCTCTGCAACGTTCTCGTGCGTAACGTGATCCCCCCGACAGCCGTTCAATCGAACAGACTTCGTGTCGTTGGTCTCCGAGCCACCCTATTCCGGCTTATAACATCTCAATTCCGTTGCGTCCTTCGTATCCTGTGCGGTTACCAACGGTACAGATTAGCGATTCCTCGTATCCATCATGTCACGCGCGGGAAACTACTTCAAGACGGCCCAGGCCATCGTCAATCAGCTGGCTGGCGAGAAGCCCCACTCATCCATCACGGACTGGGTCGAGGTCCTCAGTTCGGACAGGTACAACACGACATCTCTCGACGGTATCCCCGAGCTGGTCGAGAGTGTGAACCTCCAAGGCCCACAAGGTACCACGGAGGCGAGTCGTGCTATCCGGAAGAAGCTGAAGTATGGCAACTCGCATCGACAGATCCGTGCGCTCGTCATCCTGCGTGCCCTCACCGAGAATTGCGGACATGGCTTCAGGCTGAACTGGGCCAACGAGCAGCTCATGGAGAGACTCAAGATTATGGCCACTGACGTGAGTACAGCCACTGAACGATGTGACTTCCCCGCAGTTGTGATACGCACTACGACGAGGTCTGTCCATCGCTGCAAGGCTAAGCACAGACAAGCGTCGTGGGCATGTTCCTGACACCCCCAGAATCTACTCGACCCTAAGGTTAAGAAGCAGCTAATCCTCGTCTTCCACGCGTGGTCGATTCAGTATGCGGTGAGTATTCTTGGCCTTCCCTCCTTGCCGATCACGACTCGGGCTGACGTGCCAGGATGAGCCGCGCATGCGCGAGGTTGCTGGACTGTACGGCCAGTACTCAGGACGACGCCCCGCTGGGCATGCCAAGAAGGACTCCTTCTCTGCTCAGAAGGCAGCGACGTCGACTCCGTTTGATGACTCCAACGACATCTACTCGCACGACTGGAACCCAACTACCAAGGGTGCCGATACATACACGGACCTCTCCTCTGCACGGGCGGAGGCTGAGAGCCGCAAGGCAGAGCGCGAGCAACGGATGCTCATGGAGAGGAAGGAAGCCGAAATCGAACGTCGAGAGCGCGAGCTACAACGCAGGCAAGAGATGGCCGACATTGAGGCTCGCCGACGACGTGAAGCCGAAGCCGAGGCCGAAAAGCGCCGTAAAGCGAAGGAGGACCGCAAGAAGGGCAAACTTCCCAAGACCGTGCGACCGCGATTCAATTTCGAGAAGGAGAAGCCGGCAATCATGCAGTCGGTAGCGACTGCTATCCAGTCAGCCAGCAGCCTTGTGAACGCGTGTCGCCTCGTGAATCGCGAGACCGAAAACGTAACTCAGAACCCCAACGTTCAGGACAAGCTCGACAAGGCGAAGGCTGCCCGTCGCACTGTGGTACGCTACATTCAGCAAGTCACTGACGAGGAATACGTCGGTACCCTGCTCGACGCAAACGAAAAGATTGTGGAGGCTATCCAGCTTTATGACAAGGTACGCAAAGAACAGAAGGGTCGATCTCCCACACGGCAAATTGAGAAGAGATCGAGCAAAACAGGAAGGCGAATGTCTCAGCAATCCCCTCCCCTAGAAGTCGATGACCCCTTCCCCGTGGGCTCCCGGTCCAGCTCCCCAAACTCTATGAAAGCAGTTCACCGGAGACAGCGTTCCAGTATCGCTTCTCGATTGTCCCTCGTACTAGTGCCGCGGCCGAGAATTTACGCTAACATCGTAGTTGTCTAAGCCTGCGGCTCTTGACTCGGACAGCGAGCACGAGGTGCAGGCCAAGTTTGACGAGTATGACCCCAACGAGGCAGAACCTGAACAGGTGGAGCGCATCCGTCGCCGCCTAGAGGCTCAAAAGCTGGAAGCTAATAGGACTGGTGAGCTCCAGAACCTCCAGGAGCAGCAGAAGCTCGAGTCGCAAAAGATGCAGGCCCGTGCTCTCCGCCGCAACAACACCGGCAACACCGGATCGGCATCAACGCCCTCGGGCCCCACGCCCGCAACCACAAACACGTTCCAGGATCTCCAGGATCTTGACTTCGGAGCTGTAAATCCTCACCTCCCGCCTCCCATGCGACCGGACTCGGATGACGACGCGTACTCCGGAGGGTGAGTGTGATCGTGCCTATACTTGGGTGAACCTCTGAGCAAGCTAACCCAAAGCAGATCGCTGTCCGACTTTAGTGACTACGACAGCAGTGATGAGGAGTACCGCCGCGGACACAGCCGCCAGAACTCTCGTGCCGCGAACTCGCGGACCCACTCGCGCCACAACAGCGACTTCGACCCGTACGGTTCTAGCAGCAGGCACCCGGACCCGGCGGGCTACGCTGCGCTCGAGGAGGAGGGCGGCAAGCAAGGCCTCCTTTCTGCCGATGATCCGTTCGGCGACCCGTTCGGGGACGACAACGCGGCGCGCACTCCGCAGCACGAGAGGCAGAGGATGGAGTGTAAGTGTGGTTTTGAGATTGCCGCCATTGCTGACCCGTAGGGGCCGAGATTTAAGTCAAACGTAGTGTTCCCATCGGCTTTGATGGCAGATCCGATACCTCTGATAATTACAGCCAGCCTAATGAGAGATGAATGCATGCAGGTTACATTTGGTTACTAGGGTTACGGCTTGCGCTGTTGGTGCTCGATCGAGTCGGCGCCCCGGCGGAGGAGGTTCTTAAGCCCCTCGGCGATGACGCCACCCGCGGAGCTGGCGACTCTTCTCGCCATGTCGAGTCCCTCAACGGCATCAGCAAGGGCGGCGGGCGCACCCGCGGCCTTCGCGTTAAGCTTATCCTCGGCCCGCGCGCGCCCGAATTCGCGCTGCTGCTGCGTCCTCTTGCCTGCGATTCCCGAGCCAGCGTTGCGCATGAAGAAGTCCTTAATCGGGCCGAGCTCATTGAAGACCTCGAGTCCGTTGGCGCGCGCCCAGTTGATGAGGGGGTTACGGGCACCAAAGACCGAGTTCAGCTTGTCGACGGCAGCGAGCAGGATGTGATTTGTCAAATAGCGGTCGCGCGGGTACTGCGCGAGGGCGGTGACGCCGCCGAGGTCAGAGCCGACGCGACGCGCCTCCTCAAGCACCTTGGCCAGCGCCTGGCCGTCAGCCAGGCCGGCGTTCAGGCCCTGCCCGGCGAGGGGATGCGTGGTGTGCGCGGCGTCACCGACGAGCGCAACGCGGTGGTCGATGTACTTGTCCGCGTGGGCGAGCTTAAGAGGGAAGCTGGCGACGGACTTGGGGTCGACGGAGCGCACGAGCGGGGGTCGCGGGGAGTCGCTGACCCGACGCTCGAAGAGAGCCATAATCGAGCGGATACCCTCGGCGCTCATTGCGCTCTGATCGTTGTGTGCTGTAAGGACTGCCTCGGTGAGGAGCTTGAGCTCGTTCTCGGAGAGAGAGAAGGCGGCGTTGACCATCTCAGTCAGCGCCTCAGGAGACAGCGCCTTGAGCGCAGCGGCGATCTCGGGGGTCGTGCTCCACACCATCGTCGTTGTCTCGTCCCCGAGGGGGAGGTACGCAATCGGCCCAGTGGGGAGGAAACGCTGGAACGCCGTGTGGTTTCCGTACACGTCGCGCTGGGTTTCGAGGGTCGCGACCACGCCGTGGGCGTTGTAGCCGTGACCGAAGGTGTCGATTTGCGCAAACTTGCGGGCGGGGGAGTTCGGGCCATCGGCACCAATCAGCAAAGATGCCTGCACCCACTCGCCGCCGAGGTTAAGCGCGACACTTCCCCGCCCCGCGGTGTAGGCGATGTCGCCCACACGGGTCTTCTCCCGGATCTCAAGCTTGTGCCCTTTCGTCTGCTTGACCTCATCGAGATGCCGGAGCAGTGCGCGCTGCAGATTGACGTTCTCGGTCATGCGCGCAAGGTCCGGCCCAGGGAAATGCAGCATGGGCGTCGAGTCCGCGTCGGGGTTCGCCCACACAATGATGTCGTCGACCTCCCGGGAACGGTCCTGCGCAATGTGCCTCCACGCTCCGATGCCTCCTGTCAGCTCCCCATGCTTCTGTAAGCTATACTCACTGTCGAGCCAGGCGATGTTCTCAGCCGTCAGAGAGGACACACGGTTCGACCAAGGCCCCTGGTCGTCCCAGTTGCGTACTGGGTCGAGCGGTCCGCCCTCAAGCAGCAGGATGCGTGCGCCGTCGCGTAGACTCGGCTGCGATACTGTCCGTCAGCTCATGTGGTGAGATCAGAAGCTCACCAAGCGCATTTGCGAGAGCAAGGCCGGCAGGTCCACCGCCAATGATCACAATGTCGTATGTATTCTCCGGTGAGACGGGCGGCGCAACGACAGGCGCCGGCGCGGCGTGCGAATGTTGCCGAACCTGGACCTGCGCCGGCAGTCGGGTAGCAGCAATGACGGGACGCGCACGCTGAGCGGGGGCCAGGCGCGAAGAGCTGGCCAGTGTGCGTGCCGTCGCCGCTGTGGTGAGAGCTCGTCTCATTTTGTTGTGAGAGCTTTGAGATTAGGATGAGAGGGAAGGAGAAAGTGGAGGCAGCGCGCAGGGAAGTCAACATTTCGGGTCGACCAGACACAGCACATGGCGTGGCCCTCATCCATCATCGACATGACGCCGGCATCCTTATCCTCGCTTTCTTGATTCATTACATACACCATCTCTACAGGATGCCGCAACGCAACGATGCTCAATGTACTTGTACAAGGCTTTGAGCTGAAGAGAGAACGTCTGCAACCGATGAAAGTCACGTGACTGTTCACCGCTGCTAATGTCGCTACGGCAACCTGCAACTCTCGTTTGTTGACTTTCGATCCAACTCACACCCGTTCTCGCCCATCCGGCCCCCTGATCCACTATGATCCCGGGCAACGAGCGTGTTAAGGTGAGCTTTAGTATGGGCACGAGCTCACGAACAGGGCATCCAGGTGCACCGACCGATTATCTATGGCTCACAAGCGCGGTTGTTGACGGAAGAGGAGAAGGCGAAGGCTCCGCCTGGACGTGGGTAACTCTACTGCTTGCTGAGAGCTCCGCAATTTCCTGGGCTTCTTCACCGACCACACTGGCCGTGCGGTATGGTTATTTGCCCTGGCTTCCCCGGCCATTTACCAGCAGACCCTCAGCCGCAGCTAACGCCAGACACACACAAGTGGACCATTTTCCTAACGTCCGCCGCGACACCTCCTCCGGAACCCAAGTCGTCCACGGATGCGCCGCCTGTCGAGATCGACAAAGATTACATCCCAGGCGGGGAAGATGACATGAGCTATCTGATAAGCGTGTCGTTTTCCGTCTCCACGACACGTATCCCACTCCAAACAGAAGTGAGTACCAGATAAGCTTGGTCGGGTGTCGCGAGATTGCCGAGTAAAGTGTGTGAGAGCTTGTCGGACTATCGGTCCGCTCTTGCATGGAAAAAGCAGTCACGGTACCCACCTCTGAGCATGAGCGTAATATGCTTGAGTGGATCCGGAGTGCCTGCTCCATTATCCCATCGTACATCTTTGAGAGGGGTAACGGTCGTTACAATTTCGAGGAGGTTACAGATTCGAGAGGCACGTACGGTGCGCAGTAGCGAGTTGTTGGTGGAGCCGCTTCATCCTTTCGTCATGACCCCGGCCTATGCTCCTGATATGCTCTTGCTTGTCTTGAAGGAACTGACCACCTTCCCAGTGTGCGAGAAGCCGCCCTATCAAGTGTCTGAAACCGGGTGGGGAGAGTTCACTGTCCAGATCAAGGTGACCTTCGTCCCGGAGGCGGGAGAGAAAGCCATCACCTTGCAGCATCCCATCAAGCTGCATCACTGGGGAGAGCCCATTGAAGCTCCGCCGGCTGTCACGGCGGCTCCTACCCCTGCGGAGACGCCGGCACCGGCCACTGCAGCACCAGGCGCTGAGACGACGCCTGCGAATGCTTCGACAACAGCGACGGACGACCTCAAGGAGGCGAAAGCTGAGCCTGACACGCCCGTACAACCTTCTGCACCCGCATCGACAGCTGGCGAGGCATCGACCGAAGCTTCGACTGATGCCGCTACAGGAACCGCCACCCCGGCCGTCGACTCTGCGACTGTCGCCACCCCGTCAGCTCCGCCAGCAGCGGCCGCACCGCCCATCCCGACTGTGGCATCCACATACCCCGTGCACTCTTGGCAGTATGACGAGATGGTGTTCTCTGACCCGCCGTCCAACTTTCTCCAGATCCTTGAAGAACACCCGCCTACCCCTCTGCCCGCCCGCAACCGTCGTCCCAGGGACCAAAGGGAGCAGCACGATATGAAGACTGGTAACTCTAAGAAGAAGCGCGCCATCTCCCGAGTGGGCTCACGAGCGGGCACGGAGACCCGACAAGGAACGCCAGTTACGCCCATGACTCCCCAGACTCCGATCCCCGGTCAGGTGGGAGTCCCCGGCGAACCTGGAAGCGCAGACGTCCCACTGGAATTCTCTTTGGAGATGGAGAAGGGTGAACTCAACAAACTCACTGAGACGAGGATACGCATTGTCCAGGAGATGGACCGCTGGAGGTAAGTCCATGATCATCAGAGTCTCCTCCCAACCAACTCTACCATCATATGTGAGCGCAGGCTGGCAGGAGTCGCATGCTGCGGCGATTCCAAGTGATCAGCTTTTTACGCACAAGCTGCAGTGCAAACTACCTAAAGCACGCGCCCAGGAGGATTGGGAACCAACAGGCTTCATAGTTGCGGGGCCTCGTAACTGGTGTCTGCGGGATCAGATCTTTATGAGATCGGGATGAACCTCTCGTCTTAGGCGTGAGCCAAGGGGTGGGCTGCAGACTCCACAAGTCTGGGAGGATCCCGCGCTGCCGTTTCTTTCAGTTCACGGGCTGCTATACCTTCTCTGACCTTGGTGCGCACATGTGCGCGTTATTGGCCGCCCGTTGGAATTGGAATCAGTGGGACCTCGCCTGTTGAGCGGGATGCGAGGCGCACGCACTTAATGGGTACCGAAATCACTGTTCGCGAACCTGCTTCATGCGAACCCACACCCCTATGGAGCTTAAAAGCATCCAGCCTATCACATCATATTTCTCCAGCTCATCTCAACGCTTGCAAGACGGACACTGACCTGTACAGAGAACGTTTGATCAGCCAGGAGAAAGAGCTTGCGAAGCTCAAGGAGGAGCTGAGGGGATGAAAATCTGATGGCCGTCCTGTGCTGTTTGCTGTTCAGGGCGGGCACCATGTTTGAGGTGTGGGTGGCGAACAGCCTTGGGTCCGAGTAAGTCAAACTCAGTGGGATGCCGAGCGCAGGCGATGTCTGCAGCGACGGTGTACCTTGCTGCTGCTTACTCCGTCTGGCGTCGTGGCAATTTTCGGGACAGCCTTCCCCCCGAACGAGATCCTTGCGACTCCTCGCGAGCATGAGATTAACATCGGAGGAAGATCGGGGTCTAGACAGTTTCTGGATTCGGCGGCTTTGCAGAGTTGTCGTAGTTGTATTACCACGAATCGTATCGATGAAATTTTAAGGTTACCATCCTTGTAAACATCTGTCACAGACGTACGGCATCCCCTTTGTTGGGTGCCGTCATGTCTGCAATCAGCCTCGTGGTGGGCCAGGAAATTAGTCTGTTGAGTGGGCCTGGGGACACCGAGTACCGGAGCGTGCACGAGTGGTCAACGAGGATAAGCAGGCCGTGAGCGCTCAAAAGGCACAATGGTACAATCTGGCCATGGCTGTGAGTGCTGAAGCGGAAGGGGGGTCCGGACTCGGCTGTCTGGATCGTCTAGATCATCAGTTAATGAACGTTGCATCATCGGCAGCACAGGTGGCGAGCGACAGCGTGAGCGCGTAAGCGGCATGAGCGGCATGGGCAGCATCAAACAGGCGCGAGGGGCAGCAAATTGGGCGGTCATGACGCGGCACCCCGCGCGGTGACATCCAACGAGGGACTGGAATCATGTCTTTTTTCATGCGTAAAGCTGCTCTCGACTCGCGGACTGCAGCGAAGAGTGGCAGGGGTGCAATGCTGAAAGTCTTGCAAGGTTAAGATTAAATGAGCAAAGGATGAAAGGACAAACTTCGAGTGCGCGCGCGTAAGTCTTCCTCATGTACGGTCATGTCCTGTCATGTTCACGCGTTTGAGTGTGGAAGGGCACCACTCCGATGCCCACTGCCCAGTGGCTATGCTTGCCCTGCTGCCGCGCTGCAACGGAGAGGAGAGGGGGGACGAGTGCAACTCAAAATGCCAATTTAAGATTCACAGCTCAGTTAAACACAAGGAGTGAGCGCCATAAGTGCCCGTAGGTTAACGGAGAACCACAAATGGTCGCCGGCCCACCACTGGCCGGTGCATGCAGTGGACTGAGCGATGAATGCAGAGCGGAGTCCAACATCCGGCCCATCAGCATCCGGTAGAATCGCATCAACCTGAAAGCATGAGCGCATCAGGCAGACGACCAGACCCACTACCCACTGAACACACTAGGGCTTGGCGTGCAAACATGGGCGTTACTATATTCCGCTACAGACTTTTCCCTAATACTGCAACGCCGAGTAATTCCAGGCACTCATTACATACACCATCTCTACAGGATGCCGCAACGCAACGATGCTCAATGTACTTGTACAAGGCTTTGAGCTGAAGAGAGAACGTCTGCAACCGATGAAAGTCA